GTGTGTGACCTGTTTTATTTTATTTTCCCGAGTACGTTTGTTAGAAATCTGTTTGCATGAATCAGAATGATCCTCAAACAAGACACACACTTTGTGGAGATTATCACTCTCGACTGTTGACATAGTCTATCCTTGGCAGAAATTTCAAATTGCTGTTTAAAAGGCTCTAAGTGATCTCTTCTCCTCTTGGCTGAATGGAAGCAAGTTCGTGGCGTACAGGCCAGCGGCCAGTAAGAGACCATAACAGACACCAAGCAGGGACATGTAAGGGAAAGGCATCATGGTGGATTATAAACAGTGTCGGACCTTCTGAAATCTGCATATGCCCCCCTCCCCCTCCCCCTCCCTCTTATTCTCTTTTGCTGTGATGTGCTGTGCATCTCACAGGATGGATGAAATCAGATTGGGAGCGGGGTGGCGGCAAACAGCAATTAGCAATATGTCATACAATGGTGTTTGCAGAAGCAATTTGCCGTGGTTATCCGATCATTTAGTTTGCCTTTCTGCTCATGCCATGCATTTCCCTCTGCCTCTCGCTCACTCTCTCTCTGAAACATTGCTACTTTGACATTTCTGTCCACAATAAGCCAACAAGGCAGAATTAAAACAATGTTTTCTCCATTTCCTCCTCTGATCTATTCAGTTCCAGGGATAGCGCCAGGTGGCTTTACACAAATATCCTAAATTTGTCTGTTTACAGCATACCTCACAAGCAAAAAATTAAACCAGCTCTTCTATGTTTTCTCAGCAGCAGCCTTCCTGATAACAAGCTTCAATTATTATAGAAAAACAACAATTTCATTAAAGTCATTGCTTTGAAAATAAAATGGGAAAGGTTTTTTTTTTTTTTCAGGGTACAGAAGAGAAAATGCTTGTTTTTTTGGTAATGGATATGTGGGTGAATATTGCAAGAAGTCGTGCTCATTTTAACCCTTCCAGCATGCAAAAACAGACCAAATAACTGAAATCAGTATAAATGGATTGTTGCTATTTGGCCAGTTTCCACTTCAGCTGCCTGATCCTATTTCAGGACGTGCCATGTGCTATTTGGCAGTCAGTGAGTTTGTATAAATGGCTCTTTTAATTTTAATTTAGCCTGGAAGTCATCGTTGAAACACACCTGGTCATTTAAATTTGTTTCAGCAAATGCATAGTTGTCAACATTTAGCTGCTGTTATTGAGAAACGCTGTTCTCAGACTGAAATTTAGTTCTATATAGTGCTATGAAAAAGCATTTGCCTCATAACTGATTTGTTTTTTTTTTTCTTGTTTTGTTTTGTTTATTTGCATATTTTTCACACTTAAATGTTTCAGATCATCAAACAAAGATGACGTGAATAAATACAAAATGCAGTTTTGAAAAGGGGGAAAGAAGTTACCCAAACATACATGACCCCATGTGAAAAGTAACTGCCTCTTAAATCTAATTCTGCCACCATTTGTAGCAGCTGCTAAAGAGTCTTTCACTTCCATGTGCAGGAATTTAGGCCCACTCTTCTTTGCATACTTGTTTTAATTCAGCAACACTGAAAGATTTAAAGAACGAACAACCTGTTAAAAGTCAGGCCAAAGTATCTCGCTTGGATTTAGACGTTTCGTGACACTACCACCATCCTGCGTAACTCTTGGTATGATGTTCGTTTTCATAAAAAGCTTCATCAGTTTTACGCCAGATGTAACGGGACTCGAACCTTTCAAAAATGTAAACTTTTGTCTCGTCAGTCTATTGAATATTTTACCAAAATCTGTTTCTCAGCTGTTGTTGAGTTTCTTTAGATCACAGCATGATGTGATGCTTACTGAGATCCCTGCTTTCACTGTCACCTTGTTGAAAGTGCTGCAGCTGCTATACCATCTTTAAGATAACTGCAGATGAGTTAGTGAAATCGTACTTCAGAATTGGTTTTAGTAAAAAGGAAATTATTTCTTCTTTAGCACATAAACACAGTGTGGTGATAAATAGAAGGATGCCGAAAAGATGGTGCAGAAAGCTACAAATAGTCAGAAGGAAAGTACACAAACCTGAAGGAGTTGGCCTGATTTGTACACAATGAAATAGCTGGCAGTGGACAGATGCAAGGATATTGATGGTCACACCGTCGTGCAATAGACAGGATGTATGTTAAATCACAAGACACAATCAGATGGCTGATCAGTTTGTTTCACTAACTTATTTACACAAGGCATAAAATTATCACTAATATATATAGATTTTTTTTTAATGTTGCCCTAATACTCCTTAAGAAAGATGTGACCATTTTACAAACGATAATGATCAGAAAGTGGGGATACTTCACAGTACTTTATTAGGTAGATTGATATGCATAGAATAAGCCAAATATTTGAGGTTATATGGTTCAGTTTGCTCAAAGTGTGTCTGTAATAAACAAATAAACATTTTCAAAGTGAACCATAAGAGTATAACACACACACAGGCTTGCTTTGACACAGTAGAACAGCCTGTCGTTTCTAAAGATAGGATTCAAAACAGCGTCACGTGAGGTGGTGATAAGTTTCCTCACGGTGTCATTTTAGATGCAGGAACCTGAGGATGTCAGCACTGGAAACACCGCTGTAAGGGAACAACAACAAAAAAACAGTTTTATATCGAGACCGACCACTCATTCAGACGTCTACACACTTGACCCGGCTCCTCTCTGTGCAGGGGATGTGTTGTGTTAAAAAAATAAAAAAATACCCCCCCCCCCACACACACTGCACACCACCGGTGAGGTCCAAGGTGAAAACCACTGTTGACCAAAAACCCCCCAAGTAATTTGGGTGAGCTGACCCTTTGCGCTCTCCCCTCTCTCATTTTGCTCCTCCTAGACTTTGACAGGTTTGTTTGCTGACTGCTTAAATAGCTTCTGCCACTGTTAATTTGACTTAATTGACCTTTTGATTAGGGTTCTCATTAACAATTCTAATGTCTACATAAGAGTCTTCTTGTGATATATTATTCAGTTGGCGTGCAGCAGTATGTGGCTTTTCAATAGTGCTTCTTTCACAACACAACAGAAAGAATAATGGAGCTGTTGGTCTTTATATGTTTAAAAATATACCTAAGTTGAGGTATAATTACGTGAATCCACTCTAAATGGAGGTTCTTGAGCTAAATCGGCCTTGCAAGTTTCGCTTGAATCAAATTGAAATTTATAGCATTGAGCACAAAAAGGGGCAAAAAAACCACAAATTTCTGTCGAGAAATGTAATTTGCTATTTGTGAAAGTTTGCTTTGTCCATGTGATACTGTTCTGTTTCACAGGATCATCCTGCTGAGCTTCCAATTATCAGTCCATAATGCCAGTGCCCTGTTTCGTTTCTACCCATCTTTTGTCTTTAATGGAAAACTCTAGCCTTCTCCATCCTGAACGTGATGACTTTGTATGGATGATTGGTTACTTGAGAACTTAAAACTGAAGATTGAAGAGAACTGAACGAGAAGCAATGACAAAGACAGAAAAGTGTGTATTTATGGTTGTGTATAAACAATCTAGGCAATTTGCTTCACAGCACTGATGGTTCTTAAATGTTCTTTTGAATTGATTGTTGAATTATGTTGGAGTAATGTGGTGAAGGGAAACTCGAACAAAGACACTGTGTGTGCGTGCATGTGTCAGGCTATATAAAACTTCAGAGAACCTAATTAAGGAACTTTATTATTTACAATAACAACGCTGAATTATCTGTTACCATAGTCCACTACAGTCTGGCCCATAGTCCACTACAGTCTGGCCCATAGTCCACTACAGTCTGGCCCATAGTCCACTACAGTCTGGCGATTATACAGATTATAATTGCTATTATTTATTTATCATTTCTTCTTCGGGAGAAATTTCATACCCTTGTAGCTCTACAAGGGTGTGCCTATAATTATGTCAGTGTTTGCCAGGATTTCTTTTGTTGTTGTTTGATAAAGAAACTATGAAAACGCTTTGTACAATTGGTTTTAGAAATGGACAAAAACACTTTTGCTTCTGTATACCACCAACATTCATGATTTGATTGAGGTGCAGACTTTATGCTTTATAGGCATATAGATTTTTATGCTTGTTGTTGAGGTTTCTGTCTAAATCAGACAGACTCACATGGACCATCATCCATAGACTGTACATGAGAGATTGGGAGACTGGCACAGCTTACTGGTGTGAAAAGTGAAGTCAGTGTGAAAGTACCTTTAAACTGCATTTTATAATTATTTGCTTTAGGGTGAGGCTACCATGTGGTTTACAAACTGCTATAGTATGAGTGTGCTGTGTCTCTTGGTTTCTTAGTCCGATTCACCTCCTGGTCATCACATACAGTGTGAGGGCTACACTAACCAACAGGTGATGTCACAGCAGTTACATTTATGTGAATACGTTTGTGTGACTTGTTATTAGCTTACTGTAGATGTATCCACTGTGGCCCATCTTTGTGGTTGCAAGGAGTGGTTGTTTGAGTTCTTGTTACCTTCCTGTCAACTCAAAGCTAATTGGCCTTTCTCCTCTGACCTTCAGCATCAACAAAAATCCAAACCTATCTGTCCCTGTGTCGAAATATTAATTGCCTTATTGTTAAATCAAGCATTGACTGTGATAACCACGTTTTTTGGGGAAGCAAAGTTCAATTTCACTAGCTATATCCAGCCCTGATTACTGCTGGACCTCCTGAATCAAGAAATGACTTAAATAGAACCTGTCGGACAAAGTGATGTTGCTGTATTTTCCTTCTAATATGTATGAACTTAAACTTAAGTATTGTATGCGTCTCTTTCTCTGTTGTCTTTGAGACCTGGTGGTCTAAGCACTTTCCATTTTTTTTCCACCTCAATGTTCCCTGCTAAGTGGTAGCTGACGAACATGTAATTGTGGAAATTAAGCTTTGGCCCACTGAATGTTTTATTCTCTTAGTTATATTTAAATCTGCAGAAACTGAGCGAACCTAGAAACCTGCTGGCTTCCCATCATGTTCAAGCTGATGACTAATCTGTCCTAACTGCTTCTCTTGTGTGTTTCCAGCTAATAGGCGGATGTATCCTGGGTATTGGCATCTATGCAGAAGTAGAGCGACAGCAGTACAAGACACTGGAGGGTGCGTTTCTGGCCCCATCTATAATCATGATCCTACTGGGCATCATCCTATTTGTTGTTTCATTCATTGGAGTCTTGGGTTCCCTGAGGGATAATATAACTCT